TTTGACTTACATAACCTTAAACAGATATATAATTTGTACATTACCTATTGTAACGTTTCAAATTGTATTCAATATAGTATACCATTTGTTAAGCAATAGTACAGTTCATAAAATCAACTTGTGAAGTTTATATCAAGTAAATGATTATCTGTATGTTTGTTTTTCCGTCACGCCGAACGAAAAACCACTAGACCAACCGGTTTTCGGTTTTTGCTAAAATTTCACACAAAGGTACCATTCCGAGTAAGTATTTCAGATTCCGAATCGACCAAGGATTCTGGCCTCGGTGTTTTCAAAGTTATGGGATAGCGCTTGGGGATGTAAATATTGAATGTGCTCCATGGTAACGAAAAGAATAGCTACAACCTTTCTACAACGATTACAGTTGACTTTTTCAGATGCACTTTATTTTCTATTAGGACACACCTGACTAAAATAAATTTATTAAAACATTTGTTAATAGTGAAGAGGGTTTAATCAATACCCTCCGGATATTTATTATGGAGGGTGAAAATATTATAAGGATAACTTATATCAGAAAAGGTGGAAACAGCAACCAATTAATTTTGTGTTATTGTCAAATCCCAAGCTATTTACTTTCACTTTTCCAGTTACATTGATAACAAACTAATATTTTTTTAAAGATGTGTAATGCGAACGACTAGTGTTTAATGAGTGATATTGTGAGATGACAGCTTTCTTACTGATTAAACCTATATCAGCTGATATATCCTGATATTTATCCAGGATTATTTACTAAAATCCTAGTGATCAGGAACAGCTGGGTTCAGTTTCGAACCATTAAAAGTATCTTCTTTTCTCATGATTGAACTGACAAACTTCTGATTTTAAGGCGGGAACTGTATCTATCCACCCACCCAGTGATGTTAATACAGTTAAGTCGTTTTTCTGTTTAACATATTTCCAATGCGTCTATCTATATGGTTATAACCCTACTATTATAACAAATAAGGGCTGTTACCATCACAAAAAACCACTAGTTCAACGTTTCTCAAATTTCAACCAAAGAACGTACCTAAGAATAAGATCACTATCATGGACCTATTCCCATTTTGATACCTAAAACTATGTGCTCTAAAAGTTCTGATGTATAAAGTTTTGAAAAGTAAATTATTTTTGGTCAACCCAGAATCAAAATCAAAACGAAAAATTACACTGTTAATATTTGATTTGTCAACGTTTCTCAATTTGATATTCATTTCACAATTTTAACAGCTGATTTTGAACAATTAGACATTCTGCAATAACTTACTACGTTTATTGTCTATGTTTACCATTCTATTCATTATAGAAACACGTTACGTATCAGATTGAAAAGTAACTTGAATAGTATTAGCTTTGGAGTTGCACTGCTTTGAATGTAATACTCTTAGAAATAAAAATACACTTCGTTTGTCACAAACCAGACACTTTGCTCGTAGCTTTTCCAATGATAGTTTAATGGGTGAGTGATAACAACCACAGATAACCGAATTGATTAGTTTACTGATTGTTCAGTTGTTTTTGATTTTGTCGAAGATGTCATTAAGATGTCACCTGCATGGGAAAGAGCTGTAAATTCAGACCTGTCAAAAGTGTTATTTCAGATCCTTAAACTGTAAATACCTGTAGTATTGATATTTTAATTCGTGTCATAACACAGTTTACTGCACCCTTGATAGGTCCTCAAACACACGAACTTACAGAACAAACTTTCTAAGAAACAAATAATTAACAACTTCTAGTCGTGGATCCTAAAAACAGGTGGCACGATGGGAGCGCAGCAAAGTAGAGCTGTGACCTTGGCCTTGACCTTGACAAGAGGTCAGTGACCTTGAAGGTCACCGCGGTCGTTTCTGGCGGGAAAGTAGCCGCGCCCTTGTCGCTACTGAGCCAAGTGGTTCCTACAATGGTTTTCCGCGTGCCTCTCCGCTTTCTCCAACATTAGTATTTTTAGTTAACTATGAGTTTAGATAAATATTTCGGCTCTTACAGTGTAATAATTTAAATCAACAACGGATAAGCTAGACATAATTATTCCAATAAGAATTGTAATATGTTTTAACTGTCAATGTACCCACATTGTATACAGCATACGTTTTATTCATGTGGACTTGAAATATGTACTTATTGGCATATAACTCTTTGTACATTCTTTTTAGACATGTATTGGAAGTCGTTCTCACAATAGCAGATAAATATATTCACAAATTAAAATAGTACGTTCTGATTGTATAGTAAAAAGCTAAAATGTTTACAAGAGACTTTGGAAGATGAAGTGCTATTTTTATCAAGTTTCCTAGTACTCTCAAACAATTATTTCGTCTATTTGTGCTGTCACTTTCTTCTGTAGCTGATCTGCTAAACTCCAGGAAAATTATATTTATTATCCTAGGCACGAGCCTTGGATTGCTTATCACATTACTTCAGGCTAGACCTAGGGGTTGCGGCATTATCGCTTAGATAAAATCCATTGGTAGTTTGGCGTATTTGAACCCGAGATCTCAGGGACCGAAGTCCCGCGCTCTACCACTAGACCAGCTCAATCCCCTAGATATTATTTACTTTACGTAGACTACTAACGTTTATAACTGTGAAATACAGTTTTAGAAAATACTTTAAGTGGAAAAACAGCAATAACAATCACATTTACTTAATTTGACGGTTTTAAACGATCATCTTACTTCTCATCTAACCGGATACACTTTCTTCCACAATGTAATGTTTGTTTTGTTCTTCTACTTGTCGGTACAAGATCGTTCAGTACACGCAGGTAACGGGCCCAGGATGAGAACGAATTATGTAAATTCTCCGGATGACCGTGTTTTTGGAAATGATTATCCCCCGGTCCTCGGTCGGGCCGGTTTGTAACGGTCTGTCCCTCACGCTCCGACCTGGATAACATTGTTCGACTTGAAATTGAAATTTCTCCCATTGAAGCCTCTCACACGATCAGCTGATCCGGCGAGTGTCGTCAGCTGGTGAGACTCGGGTTTGGTTTGAATGAATAAATGCGCTGTTTTTATCAGTACTGTACATTTGTGTGCAAATTCAAACACATAAAGGATAAATTTACTTGATAAATGCTTACTAAACATTGCATTATACATTATACACAGGCAACTTTATACATTACCATTCTCACGAACACCTTGGTGTTATTTGCAAAGTTACAAAATGGAGGTATGCAAAAGCAGAGTTACAGGTTTAAATTTATTTACAGAAAATAAATGTTTACTTTTACGTACCCGCTCGATATGAGTCAAGTCTTTTAAGAGCGTTAAGATTCAAGAATTGATCAATATTTTACTATGGCTAACTACTTTTCACTCCTAACCCTTATGTGTGCAAATAGTTTGACTTCAGACTTAAAACATGTCAGTTACCTTTGAACCTAGGCACCTTTGAACACGATATTATACGAATTTCAATATCCGCTGTATGCGTATTTACTTGTATTTCTACTTGTAATTTTTTAAATTACTCCGATGAGGTGTCTAAGCAAAAATCTATAACAATACACATGCATACAAATCAAATTTTAGTCATGATTTAGTAAGTTAAATATTAGGGTAGCCGTTACAACCAGTATAGCTCCTTTTGTACTCTAGTAGTGAGCGTATCTTAACTACACAATGCGATCTTAGGGCCAACGTAGTTATCTTCCAGTTGTCAGGTACTTACGTAAATGTTAGTAACAGTATTTCACTTTTTACCCAAAGCTAAAGGACTTTAGTAATGACAAATTAAGTTAATGAAACTGAGTCTGAATCCTTGTGCGTTGGATCGTTGGATCTCATGGTCGAATAATTCAACAAATTACATTCCTCAAGCCTACAAAAAGTAATGTTATACCCAATACGTTTTAATATTGCCATCTTTGTGCGACAGCTCCCTTTGATATATTTTTGTACATTTTCCTTATGGGGTGAATATATTTGAATATACTATCTACTGAGGGTATCAAAATAATATATTTGGAAATTTCAAGTGACTCCGAAGGGTCAATACTCTCACGTGTTTCCAAATTTACAACTAACTTTTGTTCATCTCTATCTTTATTTGTCTCATTCCATTTGCCAATCTTTAATTAGCTTAGAGTTGTAACTCTTTCTTTGTGTGCATTGTGTTATTTCATATATACTACATATACATCTTACTCATCCTCCACCATAATTAGTTAAACGTTAGCTCTAGCAGGAAAGCGGGGAAATGGGACAGTGATGAGGGTAAATAAAAAGAGCAAATCTCGAAGGAAATTCATTTATAGCTTTAATATACAATGGAACGCTAAAGCAAAGATAGCTAAACTACATCTAGACACTACGAAGAATCGAACAGGTCACCTGGTGTGGGGGGTTTGTGTGAGGAAAATAAATTAAATAAATAAACACACAAATAAATAAATAAATAATAAGGTTTCTTAGTGACCCAGACAGGTTTGTGGAAATTGTTCTAAGATAATTGAACTGCATATAGGCTGTGTAGAGTTATAAAGTCAAAGGGTTAACTTATGTAGCTTAGAGTTAAAATAATGTGTGAGCAAATATTTAGGATTAAATTAATTGAATTGGAATTGGTTATTGATTGCATCAATTGATTAATGGGAAGAATTTAGAACAAAATTGTCAGACCGTAGTGACTACAAAATATAAAAACACTACGTGAATAGACAAATATGCAATGTTTACGTCAAACTATAACAGATTAATCTTCGGACGTAAAGGTTTCTAGTATTTGTCGTCTTTGGTTTGCTGTTCCATCTTCCGAAGTAAGTTCGCAACAGAAACATACATAGAATAGTTCAGTCAAAAAGTCGACCTACTTCGGAATTCTGGAGTCCGTAACCCTACACAATCTGACTAGAACAGGGCACAATCTACTTAAAACAATCCACAACTCACACAAACCCCAAACCTCCATATATACACGTCTCGTGGTAACTCAAGGACCTCCAAACTATCAACTGCTCCCCGGTATCTTATTGGTCTCTGACTCACGTGCGTGTTTCGCCTCGATGTCGAGGTCGTCGTCATCGTCGTCTTCGTCATCGTCATCGTCCTCTAGCACGTCGTCGTCATCGTCGTCCTCATCGTTGTCCTCGTCGGCCTCTGTCTGAGGTTGAGCCACGGGGGCGGAGGCCGCAGCGGCACTGTCTCTTTCAGGAACGTCTTGCGTGGTCAGAGTCACCGTGGCTTGACCTGACTCCTCGGCAGATTCTTCGTCTTCGTACGCCTCTGAGTCTGAGGACTCCGAGGGGGCGGAGTCCGAGTAGTCGGCGACCTCCTCGGCTGCCTGAGCCACGGCTGCGGGCTCCGCCGGTGTCTGGACTGCCGGAGTCGCCGCTGGCGAAGCTGATGGTTTCTCGTCATCTTCGTCGTCATCGTCATCATCGTCTTCGTCTGGAATCAAATGGTAAATTAATTAAATCATTGGCTAGAACTATTAACAAACTAAACACTGTTTTAAAATATTTCAAACTGCTTCAGTTGCCAGAACATGCTTTTTCTGGAAAGACAGCTGGTCTAGTTGCGAACTAGAGTCTCAAGATCAATTTGGTGACTTTCTTATAATCTACTAAATAACTGTACCTGTCGAATTCTTAGTATGAGCACTATTTCCACTACCTTCACAAATATTTCTTTCGCTACACTACTGTGCAACCCAAAAAAAGGTAAAATTCCATCTTGAACTTTTATTTTACAATTTTTTTATTCCTTACATTCCCTATTTTGTCAAAAGCTCCTGAGTTATGATTTTCATATATTTATAAGACTTTCTTGCCTACTAAAACCTGTACATTTTTTATTTATACAAATATAGGCTAACCCAAAAGTATCAAATTTACTCCAAATTACAACACTTAAAAATCTCTTAGGTAAGGGTTTAAATGGAATTAAAAACGTGTTTGATAGAACAATCCCAGAACTTTCCAGGTTAACAACCCTTGATATGAAATGATTCTTTGTATGCATTCACTTGTGGCAAGATTTATAACTGTAAGTTCATAGACCTTGATCACTATGTTAGTGTGTAATTTTACTTCTTTTGAAGCTTCGCTATGCTAAGATTACTAATAAACCAGTTAAAATATTTATATTTCAAAACACCTAACTCAGCAAACACCAAATATTTCACACCTCATACGGATTAAATTAGCTACACCTTGTAATCTCAGTGATACGTTTTGTCAATCTCGTAACCAATGACCAATTAACTAGAACACAAACCAATGAAAGTGATTTGACACAAAAATATAATTTTAACAAAGATTGATTTGAAATGAATTAAATTTTAATACAATACCTTGATTGCAAGTTAATGTATCGGTTATAAGACAACGCAATCAACCAAGATTGTACACTTTGATATGTTTTTCTAGAAATCGTTTAGCTTGAGTGCACTCAGCTGATGAAAAAGACTGCAGAAAATTTAATACCGTATGTTTGTGTTTCTATTTTTACACATTTAAACTTTTCAAATACAAGCTTTTATTATGTAAATCTTACTAATATTATAAATGTGAAAGTTTGTGTGTTCGTTTGTTTGAAGTTCAATCACGCATTAACCACTGGACGAATTGGGCTGAGATTTGGCATGATGATAGGTCACATTCCTGATTAACATATAGACATATTCTTATCTCAAAAATCCATTCGGGCTCCGCCCCAGTGGCTCTGTAGTTCCCCATGTTAACCTTATGAGTATTCATATTTAAAGAGAATTAAAGAATTTAGTCAGCTGTTTCAACTGAAAAAGTTGGTTCTATGATTTGCAAAAGCATTAAAAAGTTATAATATTCACCAACAGGGTGCAGCACTATTATTTTTTTGCATTTATGAAAACAGCTAATTTGAACTGAGCAGCAGTAAAAAACTGTGATTAGCAATGAGAACTGTCAAAGTAGGATTGTTTACAGTTATGTTTATTTTTTTATTTCATGAATAATTAGTGATATTTAGCAATTTTTTTATAATTTGTTTTTATCTATTGTTTAGGTGAAGTGGTAGAACATTATGACTATTGTAGATGTGTCATACTATAGTATACTGTAAATTTAAAGAAGCAAATTTTATCAAACTGTGTCCTCCCCTATTGCAAACGCAAAGCTTGAGTATAACTGGAATAATCATTTTATACTTATATGCCAACCCCGTACGAAGGACGGGTATGACTTCTAGTTACTCATAAATCCCTTTTGTATCCCAAAAATTGTAATAGGTATTAGTATTGTCCGTTTTCAGGTACTGAGCATCAGACTGATAAATTATGTTGAATTTGATAATCTGGATACTTAAAAACTAGAATGCCTAACGTGTCACTTGTGTAATAAAAACGCATTAGAGTTTGCCCTTCTGGAATTCTGCGGGGGACAGCCTCACATTACATCTAAAAAAAAACACATTTTTCAAATCTGGCTAAAAATTAAAAATTTCCAGTCACAAAAAGCTTTAAGGACCTTTTCCGTTAATTCACAACAACTAGTGAAATGTGGTTAGGTTAGGTTAGGCTAGGTTAGGTTACGTATTTCTTACTCTATGTTAAACTCCATACTAACCTAACCTAACTACCACTTCTATCTATATAATTAATACGCTACATGAAACTTTGTCGGTTGAACTCCTTCGCCATTTCTTAACCGATTTTATCCATTGACGTCTTATTGGAAAGAGCGTGTCGCGTAGATTTGCAAACTGGCCTTACATTTTCGAAAAAGCCCCTTGGGCTCTGCCCCAGTGGCTTTGAAAGTTCCCATGTTATCCTTATGAAGAACATAATTGTTTACATTTTGATCAGCTGTATAATTTAATTGCTGTTATTTATTTTCCAATTCAACGAAACGCATAGGTTACATTTACTGATTTGGTTGAAATTAAATATTTGCTACTTTAATTTACATTCGTACTTTATTCCGATGTAAACAATCGAGAAAGCCTGGGCAATTTGATTTATTTTACCAAAAAAGAAAAATGAATTGACAGGGTACTGTATTTCTTGAGCAATAATTGAAAGAACCGATTTTTTACCATGGAAACATAGGAGTCATAGAACACCACCAAGTAGAAAAAATAGAGATAAAAAAAACCATTTACAATCGTTATCATCCTAAATAATGAAGAGCATTTACAATATGAAGATTCCCACAAACAATGAACAGGGATGTTAGCCAAAGTGTTACTATTTTGTAGTTAACACTGACTTAACTTTATGATGATTGGCAAAGGAAAACACTCTAGGGCTGAATTAAACTGGTACGGCAAGGACATTAAATATATGTTTTTATAAAAGTCAAGTGATTTTAAAATAAAACGACTACATCCAAGAAACCTTAATAAAAACTTTCACTGAAGGATTTGCATTATTCACATTTAAGGGAAACAAAAACCATCTGAACGACATTTGGCCTTTCAATTCTGCATTTTTTTTTCAGGTAAATATAACTTACGTTATAACAGTAATTAGGTAGCCAAATTAATGCCAATTGAAGCAAATAAAATTATGACAGAGGTTATGCAGAAAATCAGACAGTTCTTAAGTAATGTAAACAAAATGTCATCGCTATAAAAAATTACTGAAATTTGTAAACATACTAGCGACAACGGGTAGTACTATGCAGACTACATTATCATTGACGAAGATCAACCTGGACCACCTAATGCGGCTATAAGTGGGAAAGATATGTAGAATATACTAAAAAACCAGATCAGCTTTTGAAAAATGATCAAATATTTACTAGAAATGTTGATTATATGTAACTGTTAGCATGTTAGTCACGTAATCTATGAGCTGAGTCTTTTAAACTCATCGGAAATTATGACTTTTATTCGTTTTTAAATAAGTTAATTATTTGTTTTTAAATACTGTAACTACTTTACTTCTTTGCAATTGCTCGATTTCGAGCAACATGTACACCAGTTACTAATAATCTATTACTCTACAAACTAGTGATAGTGAATTAAAGGAAAAGTCCCAACTTGGATTTATTTCAGATATTAATTATACCTCATCCAACCATTGTAGCTCAAATCAAAACCAGGACAGCTGGAGGTGTAAAAAGGATTCGTAGAAGCGTCGAAATCGATAGAAAGTGAAGAGACTGAACAATGAGTGACAAGAAACCTATAGAGAGTTGAGGAAGAAGTTAATTTGTGTTACAATCGCAAAACACCACTGACATCGTGAATACTGTAGAACTTCTGGGAGAGCTCAGTTTCGGGAAAAATCACAGCCGGTTAGTATTGTTGTAATATTTTGTTGACTAAATTAACTTTTGTTGAATGTTAAATTTATTAATCCCCGAAGAAGAATTTATGGTAAAACATTTGTTTAATTAGTTTGTTTGTTTATTTGATATTACAATGATTACGTCACTTATTAAAAAAGTTTGTGTAAGTAATGTCATGAAAATGCTAAAAATAAACTCAACATGAACCAATAAACAAAAAAGAACATGCATTTTCTACTATTTTACTACTATTTTAGTTTCTACTATTTTCTACTACTGCATTTCTACTATTTTAGTGGCTAGAAAGTTATTTGGTCCTGAAATGAAATCTGCAGTACACAATTTTGAAGCGACATAAAATGAAACTGGATATAATTTGTCCTAATTTGTTTAAGGTTTAACATCTAACAATGCATGATATTGTATCTCCAGAATGCGTTATCGACTGTCCTAAATAGCTTTTTGTAAACCAATTGTTAAAATTATATTTATGCATTTGTGGCTATCTTTAGCGTTTGGACGTAGATAAACTTTATACTTTTCTGCTATCACTCAAAGTGGATTAGAGATTTCTTTAATTCAAAGGGCGAGGTGTGACATGCTGTGATATTAAAAGTGTAATTCATTTTAAATCTTTATACCTTGGTCTTATATCAAAGATATGCAATTTTATATCCCATTGACGTTTAAGGATGCTATTGCAACCTGACTTCTGTTTATATTATGTTTTAGGTTAACGTAGGTGGAGTGTATAACATGGTTAAATGTCTTACACACCTTGGCAGCTCATCCATCCTGCCAGACAAACGTACCGTAATTGTATTTCCGTTGTAGCACCAAAAGGTCTTATTAAGTTGTACAGCATAGTATGAGATCGTATGCTGGAAAATACTGTTTTATTTTCCCATTCATAATTACTTTTACCATGGATAAAACATACTCCTCAAGCTTTTACTTATAAATTAACCTATCTTCATCCTTCAATTGTTTTAGCTCAAGCAGATAAGGAGGTGATGTAATTTTAAGTCACAGTGAAAAGAGAATTTAATGTCATGCGAGATATAAACTATACAGGTAAACTCCTGTGGCATTATATTTTTTTAGTTTGTTTTCTATTTATATTTTATTTTGCTCCTCAACCTACGAATGTTATTACAGCACTAGTTTCTATTTTGA